GAATCAATTGCGCCGTCAGATCGCTTTTGAGGAACGCAAAACAGCAGTTAAAACAACAGAAAAATAATTAATTCCAGCACTTGTCGTAATTCAGCGTGATTATGAATGTTGGTTAGGCAGTTGTGCTGCGGATGTCTTCCCTGCACCTCCCGCATTCTCTCTCCTGTTGGTAACTGCAACGCGCATCCAACGAAGCCGACCCCAAAGGTAGGAGTATTTAGGTCTGTTGGAGCTCTCGCTAAACATATGCCATGAGAAAAGTGAGCCAAGTTAAGGCTCTTTTGAAAACAGGTGATGTTAATTCAGCAGCTCATAATACGTCTGTTATTTGCTTAAGTAAGAGTGCCATTTAAACGTCACCTGGTTGATCACTGTGCCCCGCCAGACTGGCTGGCCTCTGAATTATGGCAATAGCTTTGGTCACTTTCTTTATGTCAAATAATGTGCATGCATTCTGCCCGAGTTCTGCGTCCTGTTTCGTTCACAGGTGAGTCTCGGAGCCCTACAACACACTTTCATCGCTCATTATTACTTTTGTAAGGACGCAGGAATATATTCAAAGCAGGAAAAGTGGACTCAATTTGGGGAGAACTTGTTGAATCCCGGCGACTTCATTGACACACTGAGTCAAATCACTTATCACTCAGTTTGACCAAATGAAAAGCGACGACTCTTGAATCCAAGCAGTAATTGCACACTTTAAGGCAATAATGGACGATTTCATAAATAGACGCCTTTAACTCCTTTTTGGCGGAGAATATTTTCTGAATATAATGAAAAAAGTATCAAGTGGAGGATAATCGGGGGATGGGCACAATAGAGTCGCATCAAACAAATGCCAGATGTAATAGTTTTTAATCGTAACATTTCTCAAACTTGACAAACAACATATTTTAAGAAAAATTGTGGGATATTTTTAAGAAGAAGAATTATTACGAATAGAGCAATGTTTAGGAGCTGTGGCGAATTGCGCTGTCAAAATAAGTTCAAGTTCATTTTAAAACTGTTTTAAGCTTGCCCTTCGACGAAGGCAGATTTTGGCAACATATATGACATTTTTTCCTTTAAATTGAGCAGTTAGCACAAAGTATGGCGTGTTCCTTTCACGTCGTGCCTTGAATAGTGGTGTACAAAATGTTCTCAAAAAATCGGTTGACGTTGAGGCGTTGAAGGAGGTTATTATATACCAGTGTTGCCTTAAAACAACGTAAAACAGGACCGAAATTTCAGCCCTTACCCGCAGTAATGCTGAATGGTGAAGAAGTGAGTATAGCTTGCTCTAAATGCTCTGAAAATGCTATGATATAAATCTGATAAAACAATACAACAAGGTTACCTCCCCTTGAACAAAGGGGCAAGAAAGTCACTTGACTGGAATGTAATGCTTGTGGTACTTTAACTGAGCTTTAGGAAGGAGAACTCGAACCTAGCGCTTGGAGGCTGTAAGTCTATGGTCAATTTCCTGAGTTCTTTGTGCCGAAGGGCAGACTTCAAAGCAATCAGAAGTCCAGCCAAAGGCAAGGAAGGGAGAGATGGCAGGGAAGAAGGAAAGAAGAAATCTCTACGACCAGTCATTCCTTGTTTAACTCATAATTAGCTGACGTGAATGCAAACTATGCTTGCGTTTTACATAGAAAATATTTTGCATTTCACTAACGAAAATCATAGAAGAGGAACATCGGAAGGGGTAATTTTGGGGAAAGTTGTACTTCAGGTTAAAGCCTTTTTTAAGTCAACAACTTCCATGGCCGAGTACAAGAGATTCTACCAAGAATCCTCGTTTTGGACAGGACTGCCTACCAGATTGTTGCCTTAAACCCGGTAGATGCTATAAGTTAGGTTTGTTTTAATGAACGTAAAATGTAACACAGGATCATCGCATAATTCGAGCAGCATTTCGATCCATTGGCAAGCATTCCAACAAACTCAAGTGCTTTCTCACTACCTTCAAACAGGTCATCGGTTTGGGAATATGTGTAGAACGGGACACTCAGAGCTTCGAGACCTTCGAACCACATGTACAGCGAAGTATTGTGGAATATAAATGAGTTGATTTTTGTGGCTCATTGTTTGATTAAAACATGTTTTAACAAGTTAGTCTCTTGCAGGTAGTCGTTAAGCTCTCCCCAAATGAATATCAGGTCCAGACCTGCGTACACGACTTCATGGCTTTATGATCACGAAATCAAATTAAGCATATCATTTTTCTATTCAATTTTTATTCTCATGTCAAAAATAACAAAACCCTTATTTCCATGATGCTTACATAAAAAGTTAATGAGGCTGCCCGACTACATGGCAGCCTCAGTTTGAGCAATGTGGCGTGTTGAGGCACGACTTTTGTGAGAGCAGAGTGTAGACTTTCGTTTAAACATTCCCAAAGCCGCCTTCCTGAATGTACGGCGAACCAGGCAGTAGACAAAGAAGTTACTGCTCAGGTTAATCATGAAGAGGAACCATGCAATGTAGTAAGTGTTTGCTAGGCTACCAGAGGAATCCTTCCAGGTGTCGAGGAAGTGGTTGAAGGTTTGTACTACGTTGATGGCCGCAGAGGGCAAGGTGAGCACCACAAAGCAAAAGGATACGGCCAGGAGTTGCATTGTGGTGGAGGAGCGGACGACCGGTGGACAGGATCCGGGATGGCCACCTACACCTCCCAATTGCCCCCCCTCGGCTCCAGGTCGTCGATGGTTGCGGATTTTGTGGAGAATGACGGCATTGCAGGAGCAGATGATAGTAGCAGGAAGGACGGAGAGGAAGAGTACTTCAAAAATGCGATTAAGATTGAGCACTTCATTAGGCCGGCAGACGAACTCACCGGTGCCACAAGGGTCCTGCACCGTCTCGAGGGCGAAAAACCACGGCATGTTGATGAGGAGGCTGATTAGGATGGAGAGGAGAATGTGAAATTGAGTGCGTCGAAGAGTGAAACACTTGATAGCGTGCAGAGGCCACACAACCACTATCAGACGTTCAATAGTGAACAGCACCACTGTCCATGTGGACAGAGTTCGAGAGGTGAATGAAACGAATTCGGTTATCTAAAATCCAGGAACATATCAAAGCCGCGGGTTGGCATGGTTTTTGGTTCCTATTGTTTGACGTCGACAAGGACACACATTAAGTGCTTTCCCACCATTTCTGCAGTAGACATTTTGAAAGATGTTACAGTTTTTACTTATTTGCGTACCAACTCTGGTAATGTTTCAGCGCCCTGAATCTAGCTTGACGCAGAAGGAATGCGAGTCACTAGAACAGAATGCCTGGTCCAGAGACAATGCTGGAGAGACCTCAGGTCCTCATGTGACAAAAAATAGTTGAATGATTAATTAACGGATTACTTTACAATGAGAAAATTGTCAGCACAGAATTTTTCGACTCTTGTCAGCTCT